AACAGGCACCCTTGGGATGGAGGATGACAGGGCTGGCCCTGGGGAACCTGGTGTGGAGGGTCCGCCCTGCCCCTGGCTTGCTGCGGCCAGGATGGGGAGGGGACACGGACCCTGCTGGTGCCAGTGTCTTTTTTGGGAGCGTCCCCCGCCTCACCCCACGCCACAGTGGGAAGGGGTCCCCAAAACCTGCTGCCGACTCACGGTGCGGGGCCGTCCAGCGAAGTCTTTGCCTTTCTTCAGCAGCACCTCCCTGGCGTGCCGATAGCTGTTCACCACCACCACGTAGTGGGAGCCCATCCAGAGGGCGTAGAGGCTGCCGTAGTGTCCCTGCAGGCGCCACAGCCGCAGGTGGAGCTGGGGGTGCCCGGCCAGCTGCAGCAGGCTCCCCACCAGCGGCAGTGCCGGCAGGCTCCGTGGGCGCCCCAAAGCTGTGCCTGTGGGCATTGCCAGCGTGTCCCGCCGGCGCGCCAGCCGCCAGGTGCAGAGCAGGGCCAGGGCCAGCAGCAGGGCACCCAGCAGCGGCATGGCGGGGCCGGCTGCGGGGCTGCGGCGCGCGGGGGGCCCTTATAGCGGCTGCGGGGTCGTCTCCTTGACTCTGAGGCGGGCTCGGCTCCTTATCGGGGGGACGATGAGGGGGGAGCCGGGCGCTGGGCCCGTGGCCAGCTCTGCAGCTGTGGGCACATGGCGGGGGGCGAGGGCAGCGGGGCCACGGCCACCCTGGGTGGCCATGGGGAGCTGCATCCAGCGCGCTGGGGGCCAGGGGATGCCCAGGGTCGGATCTGTCCTTGGGGTTCCATCCCCAGGGCCCTGTGGTGGGCCAGGCGTGTGGGGACAGCTGAGCCCTCGAGGTCTGTCCTGGGTGCCGTGAGCACAGCTATGGGAGTCTGGCGGAGCACTGGAATTCATCCCCAGCCTGGGAGCGCCTCGACAGATCCGGGAGGGAACGGGCAGCACTACAAATGCTGATAAGCCCGGAGCATCCCTGGTCATCAGCGCTTGTCACTGCTGGGGAGACACGGGTAGCACTTGACACTGCCGGGCAGCCCTCGGCAATGCTGGTGAGCTCTGGTCGGTACAGGAGAAGTACTGGTCAGGGCTGAGAAACCCTGGTCAGCGCTGGTCAGCCTTGGTCTGTGCTTGTCAGTGCTGGGAAGCCTGTGGGTGTCCGTGCCCGAAGCGATGAGGTGTTCTGGGGGAGTCCTTTGGGAACAGAGGGCCCTTGCAGCAGTGTTTCCGCGGGCTCTGCGCCTTCCCGAGCCTTCAGGCCCCCGGCGCTCGCCGTAGAGGCTCCCGGGGGTAGGCGGGGCGGGATGCGGGCGGGGTAAGATGGCGGCGGGGGGCGCGGCGGATGCCCAGGCGCGCTTTGGGCACTCGGTGAAGGGGCTCCTGACCGAGAAGGTGACGAGCTGCGGCACCGACGTGATCGCTCTCACTAAGCAGGTGCTGAAGGGCTCCCGTAGCGCCGAGGTGAGCGGCGGCTGCCGGTGGCCAGCCGATTACAGGGCCGGAGCAGAGCTGGGAGCGGGGAAGGCTTCGCAATGCACGCTGGGAGCTGTAGTCCGAGGAAGGGGACACATCCTCGTGTCCGGGCAGGGACGGGGGACAGCGAGACCGGGATGCGGGCACGGCTGGGCAGCGCCTCGGGACTGCGGCGGTGGCAGGTGGGAGGGTGACTGCCAGCTCTCCAGGGTGACAGGTGGGAGCGGTGCCTCAGGCGCTGCCGGTGGATGTGCTCTCACGGGACCGCCGTGATCCCCGCACGGTGTCACCCCAGTGTCACCCTGCCAGCCGTCACGGGGCCTCGGGAAACGCAAAGCTGCAGCGTCTCAGTCTGGTCTGTACCTCTTTTAGCTCCTGGGTCAAGCTGCGAGAAACATGGTGATGCAAGAGGATGCCATCTTGCACTCGGAAGATGTAAGCTGTGTTCTTGTGCTCGAGCAGCAGTTTTTCTAGGGATGGGAGGGGAGGAGGGTGGTAAGAACAGTTTGCACCCGTGCTACCGGGGCCCTGGAGTGAAATTACTTCATTACTTCAGGCATCAGGACCGGTGGCCAGAATAATTTAGTGCTTCCTCAGATCCAGTGCTGCTGGACTCCTGGTGTCCTGCTGGCTGGCCAGCCCTCAAGCTGTGCTCTCTTTGGCAGAAAGCTTGAGGGACTGTGGGCTGAAAAAAAGCACTTGTGTCTCTGCCTGTCACTGGGAAAGGAGAGGGAAATGTGCCTCTGCTGATAGTACCAGCAGGGGTGTTTTGGAGGCAGTGCAGCAATGCAGTAGTGGCTGTGCTGGAAGAACTCTCTAGGGCATTAGGACAGCTTGCACTGTCATTTGTGTAGGCATTCATTCTTTGTTTTGTTCTCCACAGAGTTTAAGAAAAATGGCCATAATAACTACTCATCTACAGTACCAGTAAGTAGGGGACACCAGGTGTTCTCTCTTGGGGGCTGAGTGGATCCCTGAGTTCTTTTCTGTTCTTCTTAAAAGACTTTGCATGAAGCTGCCAGCTCAGACTGATCCCTCTTTTTCAGTTCTTCAAAGCTGAGCAGGCCCTGCAGCTGGAATTTTCCAGCCCTCTTCAGGCTGTTTTGGGGTGGGAGCTGAAATTTTTGCCTCCTGTTTGTCATGCACTATGTCTCCCATGAGTGTCTGTGATGCACCTGGGCCTAAGAAGGAGAAGCCAGTGCTGCTTCTGTCCCCCAGGACTTAATCCAGTAACACCCTGGAGTTTTGGCCTCTTGAGCCCTTGTTTGACATAACATAAACCGTGACTGAGATTTTGTTTCTCTAATGCTCTTTTTGTCTTTCCTTTTCTCATCTAGGCAAGAAGCAATTCAAAAGAAGTGAGTTCTGGGAGGACCTGGGGGACATGCATGTGGGGATGGAAAGGGGGAGGTGATGGAGTTGGATGGGGGAAAGCAGAATGGAAAGGTTTTCGCAGCTGCTTTTGAGGTAGATACTGGCCCATGCTCTCTTCAATATATTCAGTAGATGCTCTCTTCAGTATTGTGAAGAGATGGGAATTTGAATGAAGAGACAGGATTCATACCAAAACTTTCTTTTGTTTTACTGATGTGATAGAGTGTGTGAGGCTGCTTGTGAGAGATGAGGATGGTGGGAGCAGAGCTGTGTACAGCAGGGTGCATGAAGTGAGGTTTGCTTTGTGGGGACACAGAGGTTTCTCTTTGCTGTAAAGTCAGCTCTAGAGCTGCTCTGGTCCCTTGGGCACAGGCAGCACAGCACAGTGTGGGAGCAGATCTCACCATGAATCTCCTCTTGCTTGGTGCCCAGTGTGGAGCGCTCGTCAAACCTTCAGGACCAGCTGAGTCACTTGCTGAAATGAAAGGAAACCGAAGGCATGAGGAAATCTCTACCAGCACTGAGGGAGTGAAGCATCCTCTCCGCTCCAGCCCCTGGGGCTCTGAACTGTGTCTGAATGATGCTGGATGTCAGCTGGGATAAGTGCAGAGTCTGTGTTTCTGGGCACGTGGCTCCCTTTTGTGTGCCTGCACCCACACCTCTTCTCCAGAATGCTCACCTGTGCACCCACACCTGGCTGGAAGAAATTTCTCTGAAACTTTGCCCCTTCCAAAAATTCCTGTGTCTGCTTACTTCCCATGTAGCATGAGGTGCTCAGCCCGCACCAACACCCTTGGCAAGAAGAGCAGAGTTGAGGCATGGTGTTTAAATGCAGGTGATTGCAGTTTTTCACTTGTCTGTATTTAGCCACAGAGGTGGCACAGAGTGCAGTTTATTTAGGGCATTTTAATCAGTGTGCCTGGGTGGGTGAGAGATGCTTCAGTGTAGGCTGAGGTGCCAGTCCCAGCACAGACTTTCTGAAACGAGGAATCTAAGCACTCACATCTGCCAGTGGCCTAGCTAGACGTGGTTTGGCCATCATCCTCCTCAGAGGTTATCTTATTTTCCTCTCTGCCAGAGTTTGGAAAATCATCCCTTTGCCAGCCCATATGTGCTGCTTTCGGCCTTCAGCTGCATTCCTTTTCCTGGGCTGCTGCTCCAGCTTTTGATGAAGCAGCCTTGGCTGTAGTGTGTGTTTGTATGTGGTTGGGAAGGTATCCAAAGGCCCGTCTGGGAAGCAGGCAGGAGACCATCATGAGCTGGTGTGCTCAGTTCAACACTGCTCTGTTGATGACTAGTGACCTGTTCACATTCAGGACCAACTATAAATACTGTGTCTTGTTTTTGGTAAGTCGCTTATCTGGAGCACTTGGAGTGCACGGGAAGCACTTGTTTCCCTGAGTGTGCTTTTCACCAGCTGATAGGAGCAGGCAGGCTGAGAGCCAACACTGGCCTGCCACATTCCTGTTGTAATGCTGCTGGAGTTTGGCTCCTGTGCTGCAGGGCCTTCTCGGGCTAGATCTCTTCATCCCTGCCAGTATTTTTGCCTTGGGTGACATTCTGACCCCAGCTTTGCAGGTGCACTTTGGGAATAAGAGTTTTCCCTGTGAGTTTCTTGCTGGGAATAAAAGCTGTCCTGAACACCACCAAACTGCAGCAGTCTGTCCTGGATTCTATTGCTGGCAGTCCCTGTGCATCGGGGAGACTGTTTGGGATGGTGGGTCTCTGCCCCCCAGGATCTTCCATTCTGCTTCAGCTTGGAGGGCTTTGCTGAGGCAGGGTGCCCTTGCTGCAGGTGGCTCATCCCTTCCAAGGTCGTGTCCTCTGCAGAGGCTACAGCAGTCCTGTGGCATTAAATTTGTGTCTCCCTGCCTTTGGGGTGAGCAGGGACAGGGCTGCACTGTGGAAGTGCAGAGCTGTTTGGGAACAGGCAGTAGGGTGGGTTTTGGGGCTGTGGGTGCAGCAAAAACCATGAACGATGGCAGTGTGCTCCCCACGGGAGCGGGGCCAGCAGCCCTTGCTGTGCCTGTGTGCCAGGGGCCGTGTGCCAGGGGCCAGGACAGGCCGGAGGCGGTGTTAGGGTGGAAGCCAGGCCCAGGCAGCGTGGAATGCTGGGACAGCACGGGGTATTAGGGAGGAGCGTGGCCTGTGCTGGGCAGAGTCCGGTTGTGGCGCTGCAGCTGGAAGCAGTGAGACAGGCCAGCGCCTCTGCCCGGGGTGCTGGGGCTGCCCTTGGGGCCAAGGGCTCTCTGCAAAGCGCGGGGGCGGGGGGATTTACCCTACAGGGATGCTTTGGGGGCTTATCTCTCTGGTTTTTTTCTGGGGTGGGGGGATGTCAGGTGCCCCCTGGAGCATCCTATTAGTCTGCAAGTTGGGGGAGTTCTCAGGGTTCTGTTGGGGGAGAGCAAAAAGCGCCCCGTTATCTGGCGGAAAAGGGTGATTCAGAGCCCTTGGGAGGACCTGGTGTGGTGCCCATTTCTGTGGCGTCAGCCACCAGCCCCATATTCCTGTTGCAGTGGCGACTCTCTGCAAAGACCAGATCCACCAGGAGGTGCAGGTGAGGGGCATGGATGGGAACTGGCGGAGGGATGGGGCAGTTGGGCAGGGGGTGCATGCCTGGGCTGTGCCAGAGTTCTTGGCTCCCATTAGAGGATAAAGCTTGTTTCGGGGCCCAGATGAAAATGACAGTGCAGTTGGGAGCTTTGCTCCTCTTGTGCACAGGGATGGGGAGCTGAGTAACCTGGCATTTCCCTGCCCTTGTTCCTTGAGCTCTTCTCAGTGAGGGAAATGGTGGCTGCAGCCTGCAAAGTTACTAAAATGGGAATTAAATTCCCTCCTGCACAAACACATCAGTGCATGTGAGCAAAGGGAGCTGGGGAGGATGGGGGCAAAGGAATGCCTGACCTTAGTGTCATTTTTGGCTGGGTGGAAGTGAGAGTGTCAGAGCCAGAGGACATGTGAGCAAAGTACAGGACAAGTATAGGCACAGCCACCATGTTTTAGAGCATGGGGAGCCGCCAGGGCTCAGCGCAGTTTAGTGGCCTCTATCCTTCCCATCTCAGGATTACTATGGCAAAGAGCTGCAGAAGACAGAGGACCTCAAAACCAATGCGTGCATCACTTCAGCCAGGCCCCTTCCCAAGCTGGTGAGAGATGCTCTGAAGCACATCCATGATGAGGTGGTGGCCAGGTAAGCCCCAGGGTCTCTCTTCCACTGCCACATCCCCATGGGCTGCAGCCCCTTCTTGGTCATGCCATGGGGCATCTCCTCCCAGCTCAACTCAGCATCCACCCAGGTACTATGGCTGCGGTCTAGTGATCCCTGAGTGCCTGTCATCGTGCCGGATTCTGGACCTGGGCAGTGGCAGCGGCAGGGACTGCTACCTGCTGAGCCAGCTGGTCGGGGAGCAGGGCCATGTCACTGGGATAGATATGACCGAGGGCCAGGTACGGCACAGATCTGGGGCTTTCCCTCATCCTCCCAGCAGCCTCCCCCACATCATTCCCTTCTTTGTGCCAGGTTGAGTTGGCAAAGAGGCACATTGCCTACCACATGGATAAGTTTGGCTACCGAAAGCCAAATGTGGCGTTCTTCCATGGTTACATGGAGAAGCTGGGTGATGCCGGACTGTCTGATGAGAGCTACGATATTGTCATGTAGGTGCTATGTAGGGCACGGTCACCCCCAGTCCTGCTGCTTCCTGGGACTGTGTGCATCCCAATAAGTCACCTGCTTCAGAAGCATGTGCTAGGAAGAGGGAAATCCTAAACCAGAGTCTGCCCCTTTCATGGTCAAATTGGTGTTTCCAAATCCTGAGTGGTGCAATGGGACACACAGCAGCTGGTGGTGCAAAGTGTGCTGATAAGTCTTGGTCTCCTCCTCCACAGCTCCAACTGTGTGATCAACCTTGCCCCTGACAAGAGGGCTGTGCTGCGGGAGGCCTTCCGTGTGTTGAAGGTGATGGTGGGCTGGTGCCTGTGGTAGCAAAGTGTGGTTGGAGTTGGGGTTGTTGTTGGAGTGCCACTGAGAAGGAGCAAATGGGATCCAGCAAGGTGGGGATGTAGGATGGGGCCAGGGAGGGGGCGTCTCTGCAGAGGGTCCCAAGCAGGGTAGGATTAGGGGCTTCCCAATTCTCCCTGCCCCTTTTTTCCCTTTGCTTCTTGAGGTCTCCCTTCACTCCTTGCTGTCTTCCAGCCCGGGGGAGAGATGTACTTCAGTGATGTCTATGCCAGCCAGCGCCTGAGTGAGACCATCCAGAAGCACAGGGTGCTGTGGGGTGCGTAGGGTTGTGGGATGGGGTGACATGGCATAGGGGACTGGACCTTTGCCTCCATCCCCCATGTCTGTCTCATGCCAGGAGAATGCCTGGGAGGAGCCCTGTACTGGAGAGACCTGTACAGCATTGCTGAGGAGGTGGGGTTCAGCCCCCCATGCCTGGTCACTGCCAGTCCCATCACCATTGGTGACAAGCAGCTGGAGGACATCGTCGGTGAGGATCCAGCCAGAGAGTGTCAGCTCTGTGAGAGGCTGTGCTGGGATCCAAGCCCAGGTGTTCAGTGCCTAAGCCACCAATCTCTCCCTTGTAGGTGACTGCTGCTTTGTTTCTGCAACTTTCCGCCTGTTCAAGGTGCCGGCTGGCAGCTGGGCTGGGCCAGCACAGGTCATCTACAATGGTGGGATTGTGGGGCACGAGCAAGAGCTGGTGTTTGATGCCAACTTCACCTTCAAGGTTTGGGGAGCATGCTGGGACTCTGTAGGGAAGAGAGCAGCATCCTCTGTGATCTGGGGGGCAAGCTTTGGTGGAGGGGATGGTGGGTAGGAGCTGAGGGTCTGTGTAAACCCAGGGGAGTGTGAATGTACAGGAAAGGGAGACAGATGCACTGCTTTGTGGTAAAGGTAGAAGCAGGACATCCATGGTGGCTTCCCAGAATGGTTTGAAGTCTGATGCTTGGCTTTAGTGGGTGTTTTTTCAGGGTTTGGGCCAAGACATGCTCCTGCTTTCACTCTCCCCATCATCTGGCTGAGTGGCTGGAGTCCCCTGGGACACATATCCAGGACCCCAGGCCTGTGACCATTCCTCTGTCCCCAGGAAGGAGAGGTGGTGGACGTGGATGCTGAGATGGCTGCGATCTTGCAGAGCTCCAGGTTTGCGGACAAGTTCCTGATCCGAGCTGGTGGTGCTGCAGCACTGCAGGGCTGCTGTCGCAAGGGAGCAAAGGTCATTAGAGGGTAGCTTCGTGGCTGGGTTAAGGAATTTGGACCTGAGTGTTCTATGTCATCAGAATGACATGATACCAAGACACCTGAGTCCTTCTGGGCCAGGCTGGAGCTCATGGGACACCAAGAGTGGTGCTTGGTGCCTCAGTCAGGACAAACTGCACCCCTACCCAAACGAGCATTCCAAAGAGGGTTGTGCTCTAACCACCCCAACATGCCCATGGGGACTGTGGAGGCTGACAGCTGGGCTTCCCTGAGGTCTCCCAAGGGGAGTCGTCCTTCCCCTGCGGGGATGTCTGTGTGCAGCCTGCCTCAGGGAGGTGATGGCCCCCCCACAGTTTCTTCCTGCCCATTGTTCCCCCTCCTTCTGATGGAAGAGCAGGTTGGCCCTGGCTGCCAGCCCTGACCCTGCAGTACAAAGTATTCTATCTGCTGGAAGCCACTCTCTTCTCCTTGGTGGTCTCGCCAGCCTGTAGATGGGCCAGGAGAGACAAGGGAGATAACCTGCAGCTGTGTATCCCTGAAATGCAGCCTTGTACTTAGGAAGGGGAGATTTTCTCAGGTCTCTGTCCAAGCAGGAGGCATTTCTCAGATAAAAGCAGAGCCAAATCCCAGACAAGCTCTTGGCTTCTTCCTTGCAGCAGGAAAAAGCAGCTGGAGTGACCCAGGAGCTGTCCCCAGTGATAGCTAAGGAAGGTCTGCTTGGGTTACTCTGCTGGCAGGGATTGAGCCAGGGGCAAGTTCCACTTTCTCAGGTGCGTCTTGCTTCCCACTGGCCTGACCCTGCCCTGGGTTTTTCTCTGTCCTTCAGGAGAAGATCTGTGACCCCTTCCAGCTGCTGGAGCGGCTGACAGCCCCAGGTGCTGGTGGCACCTGTGGTCCCCCAGGGTGCTGCTGAGTGGCAAGCAGTGTCCCCACACCACTGTTGGAAGCCAGCAGGGCGAGAGGATGTGGCCCCAGTGACGTCTTCCACCAGAGAGCAAATAAATATATCTGAGCTCGAAGGTTGTGTGATTGTAACTGCCACAGGGCTGTGGGTGCGGTGCTTCCCTGGCAGGGCTGGTGGGGCAGGTTGTGCCTGGTTGCAGTGAGGACCTGTCCTGTGGGTCCCCTCACTGTGGGGCTGGCAGTGGCTGCACGGCTTGGGCGCACAGGCAGGGACAATCTCTGTCTCACTTGCAGCCCTGCAGCCTGTTCCCGGAGATGGGGATTGCTCTCTCCTTCCCTGTGCAGCACCACTGAGGTTTCTGTTTTCCCCAGACTCCATCCAGTTGGAGAGCCCTGAGTCCCCTGCAGGCATTGCACCTGCAGAGTTTTGCAGGGAAATACAGTAGTTCGGGAAAAGCAGAAATTACCCAGCTGCATCCCACAGCAGGCAAAGAGCAAAGTGCAAGGGCTATTAGGCTGTAGTTGGAGGTGATGGGATGCATTCCTGCTGCCCAGCATGAATCCCACAGGACCTGGCCCACAGAAGGTGTTTGGGAAAGGCTGGTGGTTGCTGAACAGCTAAACTTAGAAATAAGGGGCCATTTCCACCCCTCCTCACACAGTGATTTTCCAGGAGGGACCAAATTTCCCATCTCTGCCATTTAAGCATCATCTTGCTGTGGCAGGGGGGAAGTTAAGAAGCAAAAGCCAATAAAATTTGGGTTCAGAAAGAAACAGGGGCCACTGCCAAGGATGCTCTGCCGTAGCAGTGGCTGAGGAGGGTCCAGAGGTTCAGGACATCTGAAATTGTTCTGAATTTGTGTGGAGTGACCTCACAGATGGGACCATGGGAGGAAGAAGCTGTTTAATACACACACCCCACACCCAGCCTTCTTCCTAGATTACTTACAAAGACTTCATCTGAGTCCCCAAACAACTCATCCTGGGAGGTTTGCAGCAATTAGCTCCTGCGATCAAAGACAGCCTTCCCAGTGGGAATGGAAGAACAGTTGGGGTTGGGGGGGTCCTACCTACAAATCCCTTCATTAAAAAGACATGAGTCCCTGGTGTGGCCTTTCAACTTGGCTGGGAAGAGCTGCGCCCACAGTGAGATCTCTGCTCTGTGCATACAGAAAAAGGCCACAGGTAAATGTCACTGCATTTGCATAGCAAAGCACTGTTTTTCCCGAAATCTCAGCATGTCAGGGAGGAAGCAGCTAAGAGAACTCTGATGTGGGGCATTAAAGTAGAGGTCCTCACCAGGCTGTGGATGCAGTGGTGTCTTCTCTGCCTGGCTTTACTTGTGCCTGCACAGCCTTGGGGTTTTCAGCGCCGAATGTATGAAAAGAGGAGGTCCTGCAGCCCCATCCCATGTGAAGAAACCCAACATGATCTGTCCAACACCCCAGTCTGTGTGTTTTGGTGATTGTAGAGATGGCCCAAATCCTGTTCTAGTGAAAAGCTCTGCAGCATTGGTGTCCTCCCTCAGCAGGCAGAGAAGGTTGTGATGCCAGCAGCCGGAGGTTGTGACAGTCTGATTTACTCTGAGAGGAAAGGGATTCCTTAGTCCCTGCTAATCCAGTAGTGGCTGTGATTTAGGGATGCCTATCCTGAGTGTCCCTGCTCACTTTGGGGAGCAGGCCTGTGGAACTCCCTCAGGATAAGCTGAATGAGATTTGGGATGGGGACCACAGCCCCCACTGTGCTCTGCTTCACACCATATTGGGTTGCCCTGCACAATTTATTCTTCCATTTTCCAAGCACTTAAACAGCAGGGAGGCTGTTTTACCACCTCTAAAGGGTGTCAGTCACCACAAGCCACACTGGTTGCTCCCACGGCTGTTCGTCTCTGGTTGTCCAGGATGCTGAACTCTTTCCTGGCTCCTTCATAATTACGGACATGGATGGCCGGGTGTGGGGTGTGTGCTGCCCCAGCTGGGATTGCGGCACAGCAGCCGAGGCCTTGGAAACAGTCGGGCTCTCAGGGCAGTGGGAGATGGCACACGGTATTTTACAGGTGCTTTTATGAATCGGAGCTCTTGGCCCTCTGTGCATCCATGAACTGAGGATGAGCGGAACTGGGGTGGATTTGGACGTCCTCTACGGGAGCTCCAAACCGCGGCCCCGCTCACCCCACGCCCTGGCACGGAGGAGCAGAGCAGAGGTGAGGGAGGAGTGCGGCCCATCCATATTCAGTGTTTAATGATTAACTCCGCTCTCAGGAGCAACCCAGCCGAGGAGATGGGGCGGAGGGTGCCCGGGAGCCGCAGTGCGACAGCTCCATTTCTGAACGTCGCACGGTACTACATGGGCGGCGGCTCAGGGCTGACCGGAGAACGGGAACGGCTGAGAGAGCCGCTCCCGCCGCAGCAGATCCCGGCGGGAGGCACCGGGATGCGCCCCGTCGAGCCGGGCCTACGAGGCGCGGCGGAGCCGCCAGGGGGCGCTGCGCGACCGCCGATCGGTGCGGCGCGCGGACGCGGGGCGGCGCTCCCGGGCCGCTGAAGGGGGCGAGCGGCGCGGTGGTTCCGAGGGGAGCGGCGGTCGCCGCCAGCCGAGCGGGAGCGGAGGGAGCAGCGGAATTGCCCGGCCCTTTCGGCCGCCCCGTGCCCCGGTGCGGGCGCTCCCTGGGTCGCTCCTGCCTAGCGCCGCGCGCGCCGGCCGCACCGCACCCCCATTGGTCGCGCCCCCCCTAGGGCTCCGCCCCCTTCAGTCCCATGCGCAGTCGCCATTGGTCAGGGCCTCACGGCCGGCCCCGCCCCCGCGCGCCCGGCGTACACACCGGAGTCACGCGCCCCCGGGGCTGGGGAGGGGGCGTGGCTCAGTGGGGGCGTGGCCTGGCGCTGATTGGCGAGCAGGCCGGCGCTGATTGGCGGCGCCGGGCTGAGCCCCCTCCCCCTCGAGGCGGGCGGGGCGGGGCGGGGCGGGCGCGGGTAGAGGCGACGCTGGTCGGCCCGGCCCGGCAGTCGCCGCCCGTCGGGTCCCGCGGGCAGCTGAGCCCGCGCCTCGCCCGCCGCCGCCGCCGCGCCCGCCGCCACCGCCGCCGCCGGGGGAGCCGGGGCACGCCGCAGGCGCCGCGCGGTGATGCGGGGCCGCGGCGGTGCCGAGCCCTGACTAAAGATGGCCGCGCTGCCCGGTGGGAACATGGCGGGGGGCGGCCGGGGGGCGCGGGTGCTGCTCTTGCTGCTGCTCGGCGGCTGCGTGGGCCGGTGGTCCCCGGCCGCCGCCGCTGCCGCGCCGCCCGCTGCCGTCGTGCCCCCGCCGGCGGCGGAGGAGACGGTGATCATCGGTCTGCGGCTGGAGGACACGGACGACGTCTCCTTCATGGAGGGGGGCGCGCTGCGGGTGAGCGAACGGACGCGGGTGAAGCTGCGGGTCTACGGGCAGAACATCAACAACGAGACGTGGTCGCGCATCGCCTTCACGGAGCACGAGCGGCGGCGGGGCGGGCGGGCGGCGGCGGGGCCGGCGGGGCGCGGCGGTGGCGGGGGCGGCGGCGGGTCGGCGGGCAGCGGTGGGGCCCCGCAGCGCTGCGGCATCCGCACCTCGGACATCATCATCCTGCCGCACATCGTGCTCAACCGCCGCACCTCGGGCATCATCGAGATCGAGATCAAGCCCCTGCGCAAAACGGAGAAGAGCAAGTCCTACTACCTGTGCACCTCAGTCTCGGCCCCCGCCGCCGCCGCTCTGGGCCCCGGGGCTCCCGGAGGGCTGGCGGGCGCCGAGGGGCCGGCGGGACCCCCGCCCTGGGGTGAGACCACTTGGATCTACCATGACGGCGAGGACACCAAGATGATCGTGGGCGAGGAGAAGAAGTTCCTGCTGCCTTTCTGGCTGCAGGTCATCTTCATCTCGCTCCTCCTGTGCCTCTCGGGCATGTTCAGTGGCCTCAACCTGGGCCTCATGGCCCTGGACCCCATGGAACTGCGCATCGTGCAGAACTGTGGCACGGACAAAGAGAAGAACTATGCCAAGCGCATTGAGCCTGTGCGGCGTCAGGGCAACTACCTGCTGTGCTCCCTCCTGCTGGGCAATGTCCTGGTCAACACCACGCTTACCATCCTGCTGGACGACATTGCCGGCTCTGGGCTGGTGGCCGTGGTGGTCTCCACCATCGGTATCGTCATCTTCGGCGAGATCGTGCCGCAGGCTATTTGCTCTCGGCACGGCCTGGCCGTGGGCGCCAACACCATCTTCCTCACCAAGTTTTTTATGATGATGACCTTCCCGGCCTCCTACCCTGTCAGCAAATTGCTGGACTGTGTCCTGGGCCAGGAGATCGGCACGGTCTATAACCGTGAGAAGTTGTTGGAGATGCTGCGGGTCACCGACCCTTATAACGATCTGGTCAAGGAGGAGCTCAACATTATCCAAGGAGCCCTGGAACTGCGCACCAAGACTGTGGAGGACGTGATGACTCCCCTCCGAGACTGCTTTATGATCGCTGCCGAGGCTGTGCTCGACTTCAACACTATGTCCGAGATCATGGAGAGCGGTTACACTCGCATCCCTGTTTTTGAGGGTGACCGTTCCAACATCGTGGACTTGCTCTTTGTTAAGGACCTGGCTTTTGTGGACCCCGATGACTGCACGCCACTCAAGACCATCACCCGCTTCTACAACCACCCGCTGCATTTTGTCTTCAATGACACCAAGCTCGATGCCATGCTGGAGGAGTTCAAGAAAGGTGGGCTCGTGCCTGTGGCGGGGGTGCGGTGGGGTGGTGCTGCTCGGTGGCGGTCAGCATCCACCTGCTTGCAGCAAGGGAGGCCTTGGGTTCCTGCTCACGGAGGGCTGGTGGAAGTGCATTCTGGAGTGAGTGACCAGAGTTTAGACATCTGCCAGATCTGCTCGTTCCCTGGGCCAGAAGGCTGATCCACGGCTGGGATGTGCCCCCAGCCTTTTTTCCCCCACTGTACTGGGATGTGTGTGTGGGCATGGTGCCAAGCAAGGTTGTTTTCCTTCTTGCTTTTTCCACTCATCTGTCCATTATAGTGAGAACCACTGACGGGAATCCGCGTCCATTCCTTGGCTGTGTCTTCTCTGTGCTTTT